ACACTTAGCGCGTCCAATTAGGACTGGCGCGTAAATCACTCTTCGAAATTCGCCGTGTCGCGTCGCGAGTTACGAAAAGCGCGACATGGCGTTACTAATAAGAACTGCTTACTAATTAACGACGTCTCAGACAGGCTCGAGATATAGCGCGGCAAGTTCGCGTCGTGCAAAACGCCACGTGGCTAATATAGACGCCTTTTAACGACTCGACGTTAGCCCGCGAGTCGTAAACGATTTTATTGCGTCTTGTACATGAAATTCACTTTTCGACGACGTGCGCGGCGAGCGCGCTCGCGCACATCTCTGTCGATATCGCAACATCGTAAAAATTGCGAGAGCGTTTTACACTAACGCCTCCGCGCCATCGGCTTAAGCTCCGCTCTTCAGGCAGCTAGGAAAGTACACGGTATCCCGTGTATCACTGTGTCGCAGAGTGTACGAGATACGCGGGCTATAGACGTGTGTGTTCTTCTTCAGCCTACGGATACCGCAGGCCGAACTGGGAGAAACTAGGCGGTCGGCCCGAGAGACACCCCATGTATGCGCGGAATATGCGCGATAAAATCGCCTCGGCGTGCACGTGGAGACCTGCACGGACCTGGATGAAAAGTGGAGCACGGGAGAATTGCGCCGTGACGAAGCGACAAAGCAGTTAAGTGATCGATCAGTCCTTAGGTGTGCACCATCTTTGCGACTGACCCCCCGCGAAGCCCTCTCAACCTTGTCTCTCGCACACACGCTCTCTCTTCTCTCTCTTTTCCTCCATCGTGTCATGTTATATATTACGCGATCCGTGTCACATAATAACGTCGGATGCATCGCATAAAAGACGCTGTCTACGGCGATGGAGACCGATTATGGACAAATGCATGCCCGACAAAACATACACTCGCGGCACGTGTAGAAAAAATGCTCACGTAGCCGGCGTGATGCGCCACCGAGGGTGCATCATGCGCGATGCAGCATCTTGCGTCACGCTCGCACAATTTTGGAGCGAGAATTAGCTTTCACGCTGTGGGCAAGAGGCGAGGACGCGGGACGACATAAGTAACAAAACTTTCACGCTTCAATTAGCCTTAGATGAACTTGGACGCGATCTCGAATTAAGCTGGCACTAAGTATCAGTATTAATAATTATGCTCGGAGCGCGGAGGAGAGGTCAGGGAGGGTTCAACAAACTCGAGAAACGAGCGCTTGACGGGCATGCGACGGTGACGTCGAGCCGCTCGCAATTCGAACGTACGAAATTCAACATAACGAAGTAGACTGTGTGTTTCGCGCGTTCTCCCGTCGTTTACTTTTTTCCCGGTCGTTTTAACGAAGGTCCGCGTTATTCGTCAGCGCGCGAGCGCGCGTGATGGCGAGAATTAAATGACGGGAATTCACCATTCGTGCAATAAATAATTCGCAGCACGAGCTACGAGAGCGAGCGAGCATGGTAAAGCGCGAGCGCGTCGCTCTCTCTAAAATAATTCAACGCGGCACTGTTTTATCGATCAATTTGAGACTCACATCAAGCGCAAGCCGTCTTTGTAACTGACCCGATGACCTGTGCCACACACACACACACATATATGCTCGCGCGTTAACGCCGGTACGGCACATAAACGTAACTACGTGACGGACGTTGTACGGTGCGTTTATAAATTTTCTCACGCACACACACACACCGGCCCGCGAGTAGATTGCATACAAAATAATGAAAAACGGTAGGACCCTGATGATAACGTTGCCACGTGACTAACTCTTGACGCTTAACTAATTGACGTATACGCGCCTACACACACACACACACACACATGCGAGTACGTAAACAGCGCGGTGAGTGGTTGTTCAAAGAGTAAATTACAATGTTCCGTGCACGCGGAAAATAGTTACTTTCGCTTGAAAATTTCGCCACAATACTTCGTATGTTAGAATAATAGCCGGAATAATGGCTTATTTTAAACGAAAATATTGCCACTATCGGCAATATCCCTCAATCCCCGGCGACACTAGAATTGCTTCTTGCGATCTACACGGAAAAAAAATCTCATTTGGTGCAACCGAATAGGACCCAACTGAAAATTAGATGATCAGAAGCGGTATATTTTCTGTTGTCGCAACCGAAAATCTTCGTCTAAACATTCAGTGATATTAGAATTCGACTGAAGCAACTGACAAGTAAACCTACCAAAAAATTACACTCCGATTTCTTTCTAATTTGACACGAATGTAGAAGTACAAAAAATATTTAGGTTATATTTTTCATTTTGGCCCACTTTGAGTTTCACGGGCAGTTTATAGCTTTTTAATGTTCTCACTCCTATCAACAAGTGCAACAAAAATGCATAAGAAATAAAATTGAATACAAGATGTAGGCGTTTTTGGTTTGCTGATTATGAATATGAAATCATTTGTGTAAAATTATTTGACTAAATAATTTGTATAAATAATAAAATGTTTAAACAAAACATGTGAAGAGTTGAAAAAAATTATTTATACAAATAATTTCTCGGTTTGGCCGAGATTAGAACCATTTTTTACTAATTTAGCACAGATTAAAAATATTTCGGTTGGAATCTCGGCTAAAGAAATTTAGAATGGTTCGTGTCTCAGCTATGCCAATTTTATTAAAATTACTTAACTATATCTTGTATTCAATTTTATTTCTTATACATTTTTGTTGTACTTGATAAGAGTTTTGTTGATGATAAGAGTGAGAACATTAAGAAGCTATAAATTGCTCGTGAAACTCAAAGTGAGCCAAAATGTAAAAACATGACCTAAATATTTTTTATACTTGTGCTTTTACATTTGTGCCAAATTAGAAAAAATCAGAGTGTACCTTTTGGATAGATTTACTTGTGAGAACAATTGACTATACAGAAGGAATTAATAAAGAAATTTTTCTGTTCCTACAGCCAAGTTTTCGTCTGATCCGTGAGCAATCGAAAATTCGGTTACGCCAACGGAATTGTTTTTTCCGTGTATTAAATTATATCTACCAAACGGAAATTTCTCAATAATGCGCAATCGTAATCAAGACGAATTGATACCAATGCTATTATCGGAAAAATCGAGATTTCTTACGCAGATCACATCGTTCTCTCTTCAGCGCGTTGCTATTACATGTGAGATTGATATGTGCTTTGTACCGAAGGTCGATAAATAAAACGACCCGTTTAGACGCGATCGAGTTTCGCGATGTAATCCTTTTCGTTCCATGCAACGATCGCCTCGCGCCATTTTATACCGTCGTGCGCCGCGAGGAGCGGTGAGGGTCCTGACTTTTTAAATAAATTACCACAAACTGATTAATTGATTGACTCGTGGCGCATCTCGCAACCGTGCATTACCGTTCCGTGCCGATCCCGCAGTTCAGTATTATATTATGCGGTTACAACTGTGCAAGGCCAACTATGTGAAACACGCTTGCATAATCGATACGTGCGATTTCGGCATATTAGCAGCGTAAGCATGTACATGGAATTTCCGCGAACAATGGTCTGCGCCGACAATACGCTTCATTAAAAGTTAGAAACTCCGCGAAAAATGCATAAAGCGCGTCGTTACGGCTGCCATTATGGTGCCGGTTGGGTTTTAGCATTAAACAGACGACATCGGCGAGACATTATTGTGCATTACCGTAATGATCGTAATTATAACGGCGGTCTCAATGCCGCCGCACAATACTTCTCTCGCGAGAAGAGTTTAAGTAGGAAAGCTGGGATCACTTCAATTAGCGACGTCAAAGTTCTTTCTGTTGTAGCGTCTCATAATTACAGTACTAATCAAAAGTTTAAAATCACTGACAAAAATATTCATCAAGAATACATAGCCGGATTATCAATCCAGATAATTATTCTTAACAAACATTTTTATCAGTGACCTGAAACTCTTAACTGACACTGTATATTATCGATTTTCGCGCATACTCCTTCGCTTATTTAACTTCGTCGGCAAACATAATTATAAACTATACGAATCTCTGACATATCACGTTTCATATTACGTTTCAATAAACATATGTCTGTTAGTTAAAAATTTGTTCATCGCGCGCTACGTTTGCGTTGTGCGACAAATAAACTTCGCGTGTGTTCAGCAATTTGCGCAGTTATTGAACCAAATGCTAAAATTAAACTTTATTCCGGCGAGTATTACCTTGAAGAGTGACGATTATCGACTATTTCATGTATTTACGTTCCCGCAACACTAACAATTAAAAGGATACGCAAGTTCAGTGTCACAGTGTGATATTCTTGTTAAATTCCGTTCGGCAAATTCTAACGCACGAGATCAATGTTGTGTGAAATTGCCGAAACATTTTTACCGTCAATTGGCCGTCCGCCACCGACGAGTTGATTACATTTTTCCCAGGTCAATTGGAAATATTATGATATTAAAACGGACGATGATCAAACTCACGACGTATGTATTTTTTTATAGTTGTAAACGGCGGCCGCCGTTTCAGCGCAGCATAATACGAAGTCGAAAGGCAAACGTGGATTCGCATGTCTGACGCTTTTCAATTTATCACTGACGCTTGCTAGAGTCGATCGAGAGACTTCTTCACTGTCACCGTAATCTCGTCGGGAAAGCTCGGTAAACGAAAGTTTAAGGAAGTTGATGCATTCGCGATATACGGTATATATTACGTTTAGCTTGAAATACGCTCGAAAGTGTCATGACGGATCTTCCTAATTTCGCATAAAAATACTGTTAATCGAATCTCACAAATAACAACTTTATTGAGTATCAAAAGCGAACGTCAACTGCCACTTTCTCGAGAAATTCCACTTCCACGAGAAATTCGTGCGGAAATGAAATAATTACTTTGTTTTAAACTAATCTCGCGACGCGCACGTGACAGTAACGTCCCGACGTGTCCTTCATAACGCAGAGCCGAGTCGGGTGCGTGTCACGCGCATATAACGTCGGTCTTTATTTCAGGAATACACTCGCTCGCGGAGAAAAATGAGACAGACACGCGTATATGACGAATTATAGTTTCACATTACCTGTTGTACATAAGAACGTCGGGTTTCCATAGTCGATGCGGCGGTATTCTGAGGTCCCGCACGCCTCCGTAGTCCGAGACGTTCCATCTCATGTTCACGTCGTTCCATTCCTGTAATTAAACGAAAATCACGCAATGTCACTCATAGACTCACTCACTTGTATGGAAATATCATCTCGTCTATTGATAACAAGATAATCAACACGATGAACTATGCGTCAATACCTTCCTGCATAGATACTTCCCAAGATTTTCCTAGATACAACATAGAATGCCTAGAATTGTCCAAAAATTGGTTATCTCATTATGATACTAGTTGAATTCCATTTCTATGCCAAGCATGAATTCTCTATTTAGAATCGAAACAGAAATATTTCAGGAACAGAAAAGCGACAAGAGTCGGTACTCTACCTATTTTCGGCACTCTTGTGCAGATGTTGCTGGTTATTAAGGTATTACTGAATAATGAAATTATTTAGAAAGTCAATGTGTCTTATTCAATTCTAATGAAGAACAGAATTTTGGAAAAACTTTGAGCTTCTCACTTAAAATAGCATGTTTAAAATATTACACTTCTAACCACAACCCATAATCATTTTGTGGTATCGAATCCCGATTAGATCGCAAATAAATTTTCTACGCGAGTTATGATACAAAATAAGCAAAAATTGCGAATTCAAACAGATTGAGACATGTTTTTGCATTTTCTGTGTTGCAAGTTTTACGATGTCTGGCCATCGTGTACGACGGCATACACGACACTCAAAAAGACTCTGTGTCGAGTCAACGAAAGGACTGATTAGACAATCTTCATGAGCGTTAAAGATAAAGCTAACATTTCGTGCAATCAGCGGGGCACGCGAAAGCTAACGTACTCTCCCTCAAAATCACGTCCGAAAATCACTCATCGTGTCCTCTCGGAGGCGATGTTGACACTATCGATTTTTCAAGCGCCAAGTGTCGACATATGCCGTTCGCGCAAATATTTTATATCGCGTCGTACACGTCAGGTAAACACTACAAGCTTTCGACTTAATTCTCGTACCGGGAATTTACGAACGCGTGTAACTTTACAAGACGTCAACCTGGTCCTTTTTCTCTTGTAATGTACAAGGTGCGAAGTCATATAAAAGAGCACCGTTTGCTCACAAACAAGAACGCTGCATTACCCTCGCCATGTCTGCTGAAATCTGTGTTTGTTATTTCTCGCGTTTGTAATTCGGGTGGTTCCTAAAAAGACCCGTCATACTTCTTGGCACATCCGAAGATTCTGACAAAATTCAACCGTTCTTTTTGCGACGGCAAAGCCCGAAGCTCGTCGATAATTCTTCAACACGAACTTAGGCTAATATTTCACCCGACATTACGTCAAAACTCAATGTCGCCGATACAGCAACGGAGAGCGCATTTAGCCGGACACCGAGTATAATGGCGCCCCGCTAATACTCTTCCTCGCAGTTTTCACGAACATTTCCCGAACTTTTCTCGCAAGTTTGCGTGACTCCTCCGAAGCGATTTAGGAACTTGGGTGTATTCGTGGTTTGGGGGCTCTTCACTTTGAATCTGCAGTCCTTCCCCGGCGAAACGGAAATGAGACAGACAGGATCGATCCGACTAGCGCGGCCGTAACAGGTCGTTATGCGTGTATTTTTGATTGAATTGTTTCGAGAAGATTATTCCGAATCGCGAGGCGAAGTTGGAAAATCGAAGAAGGAGCAAAGCAATAAAGCGAAGAAAACACATGCCTCAATTGCATTTTAGAATGTATCGATTGAACGTTCACCCTTTTAGCCATGGACTTTTCCGATTAAATTCCGCTCATATTTTTCCTTTAACCTTCGCTTATTCGAACATCTACAGATGAAAACTATTTTTGCTGCCGAGACTCTATTTACTTTATACATACGTTATAAAACGTATTAAACGCACGAATTCATAAGAGATTGTAAATATTATTCTTTTAATCAACAATACATTTCCTTTTATTATCAGTAACTATTTCTGTTGTACAAACTTGCTAACATGTATTCACTTTGTGTTCCTCACATTAAACAATATGAGCAAAAATGTATCTAGTAGAGCAGATTTCAAGACTAATAGCTAGTAATGACTAGATAAGTTTTCTAGCCAGTCACTAGCTCGTGACTGGCTAAATATTCCTATTTAGTCTTTTGAATGTCAGGACTATCTAGTAACTATACCAATTACATAGATAGTGGCTAGATGAAAAAGATTACACAGTAACGAGATAGAAAATCATCGGTAAATTCTGAGTAGAAATTGGATATCAGAACTATCTAGTACTTATATCAATTATAGTTACAAGTTATTTTTTTGTATCTAGCTATTAGATAATTTTTCTGGTACAGCCACTAGGAGAAGTGAACGTTACATTCCTAGCTAGTAGCGATGTAAGATCCAACTTTTCTGTGTCATTACTAGACAATCACTAGATTCAATTTTTGCTCGGGAAATTCATAAGAGAAATCATGAAAATTATCTTTTTAATCAATAATATATTTTTCTTTAATATCAGTAAGTTGTCATCCCGACATAAACTTTTTATCCCAACTCACCATGAATTTACGATTCGACCCCGACAGCTACGGTCAGTAAAGATACGGGATTACACACGAGCAAGTCAGAAGAGAAAAAAAAAAGATACAGGAGAAAATTTCCCGTAGGAGATCCTCCGGTTTTCCACAAGGACGGCAGACTCGAGGATGTTTTTTGATACCGCTATAACCAGCCCGTCCGAAGGTCGACCCGCGGTAAGCCCGGTTGATTTCGTCGCCGGCTTTCTCAGCTGTCGCACTCGTGCCGATTAGTCACTGACCCCGATTGATTAGCTGCTGATGGAGTGCAACGCGAGATAATTAATAACGGAGCACGCACGCGGTTCGGCGCGGCGGTTTGCGGAGTCGCCGCGCGTAGGCCGTTATTATTGTATAATCATTCGCGCGCGCGCGGAAAGCTTACGCAGCTAATTGCTGCCGCCGCACTAATTTAGCCCTCATTGACATTGGAAAAGTTTCATTCGACAAACCCGCGCTCGATACGCAACCTGACTAGAAATTTATCCCATGGTCCTAATCAGGTCAATCACGTATCTGATTTGTCTAAGGTGATGTTATAGCGCGGATCCTAATTATTGATCAAGTAATAATTTATATTATTAATAAGATCCTGACGCCATGCTGCGTGGAATGACTTGTCAGAGTCTGATAAACTTTATACAAAACAGATAGCTGATTAGGATCAGCCTGATCGGGACCATCGCATAAATGTCGCGTTTGTTAATCAGCAAAATGCGTACGAAAGGCGCTGACCTAAGGGAAACCTTAGCTTACATATCGGAAGCCTGAAATTTTTATTTGTTACGTGTTTGCCCGAAAGCCCCTTCTAAATTTCGTCCCACGAACGCGTTTACGTCGTCTCGAGTCTTGTCCGTTCCGTTTTCTTGTCTCAATGCAATGTCCCCGAGTTCTTATTTCCCACAGGAAAAAAACTAATTGAGTCATCGGCCGCGGCCATTGAAAGTAAATCCTTCGCTTCCAAGAGAGCATCCCGACGACCGCGGCACAAAGCTCTTCTACGCGTTTCCTCAGGGAACCAATCTGAGGGCCGACCTACTCCCACCTCGGCTGTTCGTCCTTTCACACGCGATATCGCCTCTTATCGCGCCGTGCTCCAGCGAAATGCGAGATTCCGGAGCGCGGAGAGCAATGATCCGTTCGTCTTTCGCGCAGGAGACAAATATCGGCAATCTCGTCTCGCACTTTGCAAACGCTCCGCGGAAGAATGCGTAATGCCAGCGCGAGCCGGTGAGTCGGATGCAAAAGTAACCGGATACGGTGGTAAAAGTCACGGGGTCGGAATGGAATGGAATTCCGCGAGTCTGTGAGAGTTCGCGAGTTCTGGACGGATAGGAGAAGGGAAGCGGCTTTCCGGGACGAACGCCATTTACAAGACCGAGCCTTTTGAAACACGACCTCTGCTTCCGGAAATGGAATGTATTTTTCTTCCCTTTTTTTGTTACAAGAAAGAAAGACGACGATCTGACTTTATTGATTGGAAGCACTCGCGGAAAAACGAGACTCGTGTTATTCTCTTTACCTTCGTTATCCCTTGTCTCCCGCTTTTTATTATTCGTCATATTTCATCGTATTCTAATCCCTTTCCCCTCTTCGTGTCATCGATAAATATAATAGCGATACGATCCAAAGACGAGAGATGAGATATCGCAAAAGATAATATCTGCGACTAATGCTGATTGCTTCGTAAGAAAAGCGATCGTTCGCGGACGATCGATTCTCCATTAATCGCATTAAAAAACAAGAGTAGCTCGATAAAAGACGAGCGTAAGACAACGACAGCGACAGGAACGACGGAAAGTCATAAAATCTAACAGCGCAGTGAGACGACCAAGTGTTTTCCGTCTAACGACTTTGCTGTTATATGACTGGCGTGAGTGAGTGAGTAGGAAAGAGAGAACGAGACGACAGTGCAGAAAAAGTGAATAGATAATAAAGAGATAAAAGTAATAAGTTACGTGCAGTCCACGAATGTTATCTAATATCAGCTTTATGAGAATAACGCGATTACAGAGGCGAATGAGGTACCGGCCGGCAAAATCAAGTAACTTTCGTATAACTGAAGGATTTTTCAAACTCTCTAAATTAAAAAACTTTTCGCTAAAACCTTTTCTCTCGTCAAGTTAATACGTTCTTAATATTCAGTCGACAATCAGGCGTGACATATTTCTGTCTTCGCTCCGGCACGTGACAAAAGTAAACGTCTGAATAATTGTTGCACACCAGATTTGCATTTGTACGTTGACGCGTTCGTTTGCCCGACGACTGAATAACATTTGTGTATTTTATGAAGAACGGTAATCGCATGTCCAAAACGAGATTCACGCTGTCGCCAAAGACAAGAATATCCATCGAGTATGCGTTTCCGCGGCTGCACTCGACAATTATATACGAACACGAACGAAAAGTGGTAGTCGCACGCGGCTCGATTTGCACTAATCCGATCTTGTCTCGACGTCCTGATATTCCTGCGCATATGATAATTCCCGCTGTTGAGATATTCATAAACGTAAAATA